GATAGTTTTATTTAAAGTTGCTAGTTTCTAACATAAAGTTAAAATTTTATATTAAAATCGACTCACACTTATTGGTCAAGTATTTGACATACAGACAAATATTAAAATAAAAACATCGTTCAAACGACACTTTTCTATTTTATATGAAACTGTAAGTTTTACATAATTTTATTATCTTTTTTTAAGATCATAGATATTCTTCTATTTCCTTAATTTTTAATTTATATGCGATTTTACCTCTTATTACATTAATAGCTGTGTTGTAATCGCCTCAGCAAAACGTTTACGTCGACGTCGAAACCGCACGCGTTCCGCGCCATTACCTGCCCAGATATTAGCGTCTTGAACCAGCCGTTCGTGAGATATTGCGCTAAATGCTGGCAATAATGTAACGTATGAAGCCTACGCATCACTATCTCGATTAATAATTAAGCCACATAGATATATAGTATCTGGATAGATTAATTAAACTTGACTTTAAAATATCATTTATCCTATTAATATTATAAATGCGAAATTTGGATGGATAGATGTTTGTTACTCAATCACACCAGAACGGCTGAACGGATCTGGATGCACAGAGGTAGATTATAATCTGGAATAGCACATACCTATGTTAGTTTTATCTCAGAAGAATTTACGGTTCCCGTGGGATGTGATGATGATTTGTTTATCACAAAGTTTTCCTAATCCATACTAACCATTTAAACGTACCGAGAGACGAACCCGAGCGAAGCGAAGCTGAGTCGCTAGTTGATTTATATGAAAAGGAGCAATGAACAACAACAAACACTAAAAATTTATCATATCCCATAAGCTTAAAGATAAAAAAATTTCTTTAAACTTAATAAGTAGCTGAATTTCATAATCGTACGTGTTAAGTAATAAGCATAGTACATAGTACTACTTTTACCTTTACTTTGTCGGGTTCTTTTCTACGCGTCTAACAATAGCCTACGTAAAACAAAACTTTTTCTTTATATTTATAATAATAATAATAGCTAACATTAAATAAATAATATTGCTAGATTTAACTATAATATTTATTAAAAATTTCAAAAATGAATCTGTACTTTGGTGCCATTTTTGATTTTTTTTTATTATTTTGTAAAATTGTGGGTAGGCAATGTCTGTAACAAGTATATAACGCCTTTGAGATATCTATAACCTTAGTCTCTCCCGTGACCATAATTACTGTAAAGCATTCGAAACGTCGGGTACCAAATATCAAAATAAATCCGCGAAATAATCCGAAAAGATAGTTATACCTATTTAAAATGTCAAATATTCGCATAAATCTAACAAAGTCTTATAAGAAAGTATTAGTAGCTTATGTGCTACACTAAGACATAGTTTATTTTTGTACTAAATTCCATTCAAATTAGTCCAGCCGCTTCAGCGTGAAGGAGAAACAAATACATACATACGACATGTGTCATTTCGTAAGTACTCGTACATTCAAATTTTCGTGCGATTGTCAAAATTGAATTAATTTCATACGCTAGCAAAGTTTAAAATCGATTTTGTGGAATTGTTAGTTATAGGAGAATTTAGTAAAAACTTGTTTAAAAAGCTTGTTTGAACAAGAATAACCTCATTTTGGCCGATTAGGCCCAAATCAGATATATTATACAGTTATGTGTATAAAATACCCCACGCGGTAAATCGAATAGGGTCCTACTGAGGGACTGAAATATAAATATAACAGAAAAAAGTAAATATCTATATATAATCCTCCTTAACCGATTTCTTTTTTGTTGTTTTATTAGTAGCTGTTGACAAACTTTAGTGTTATCAATAGAAAAAGCAGTTCTTTTTTATATAGATAGGTAAATTTTATAAATATACTAGCGACTCACCCTCGCTCCGCTCGGGTTCGTCCCTAATGTGGGCCACCCTTACCACTTAGGGGTATGGAAAATAGATAGTAGCCGATTCTCAGACCTACTGAATACGCATATAAAATTTGGTAAAAATCGGTAAAGCTGTTTCGGAGGAGTACGGTAACTAACATTGTGACATGGAAATTTTATATATTAGACTATCCTTAGGGTTACTTACAAAATGGGGGGTTTGGGAAGGAGAGTGAAAAGTACCTTACCACCTATTATTATATCTACCACAAAAAAAAACGGTCAAGCCGTTTTGGAGGAGTGCGACCATAAACACCGTCACACAAGATATTTGTTTATTAGATGTTTTCCAAAAATTTTCAACAATAATTATGGTCAAATTTCGAAATTAATCAAGCACATACAATATACTCTATATTATATATATATATATATATATATATATCTTTATATATATAATTCTTCTGTGAGTGTGTATGTCACTGAACTTCTCTCAAACGACTGGACCGATTTTGATGAAATTTTTTGTGTGTGTTCAAGGGGATCTGGGAATGGTTTAGATTCACAATTTGAATAATAATTTTCATCAGACGTATATATATATAGCTCTATATACACCCTGTAACTGCAGTAGTCAGTCGTCATACATTACTCATAATTATAATATTCCCGGACGTTTTGACGTGGTCACATCTGTCGCGGCTGACCATCGCGACCGACGCAGGTTATTATAATGTCAGATTTGACGATGCATTCAGTACTGGTCTACCTCATAATACTGAAAATACTCATTAGCATATGTACTTAAATGTAGTTTGTATAATCTAAATGTCTTTGAAAGGTATTTCTTTATTTTAAGATATGATTGGGGAAATAAAATTCTTTAATTAGTATAAGAATTTATTATTTAGGAAAAAAAATTAGCCAAATCTGTACATTAAATATTTTTTGGAAAATCTTATTGAAATAAACATTATTATCGACACAGAGGCCGAATCTATAATTTTTAGAATTTTTGTGTCTGTCTGTCTGCCTGTTACCACATCACAGAAAAACCACTGGAGGGATTTTGATGAAACGTGGTATGGTGATAACTGGTTATCCGATTCAACATATAGGATACTTTTTAACACGGGAAAATGTCTCATTTCTCAGAAAAACTACAAAAAATGCAATGTAAGAGTATACTAATATGTAAAACCTAAGAATTTGGTTTTTGGCCAACTGAACGCGGATGGAGCCGCGGGCAATGCTAGTTTACTATAATACGAGTATATAAAAAAATATCTTAGGACTGCTTTTTTATGTGGTATTTGCATTTTCGACGTTGGAATCTATAATATCCAAAGCTTTAAAGGCTTCTTTTATAATTTTAATACAATCAAATATTTTTAAATAAATAAAAAAAATAGTCTATTATAAATAAATATACGGACTACTAATATAATAGAAAAATAAACATGTATGTAATATATGTACCTAATACGTAATATGTATTCCTTTGACTCGAACTTGGCTGGACACTATCTTGAGTTGAAATTGCTGTCTGCAATCAACGATAGATATTTAATTAAATTTTTTTAGTTTAGTTTTCCTATTATTTATTATAATAAATTGTTAAATATTATTTATTATAAAATCCTGATATAACACAATATCATCACAATTAGTCATAAGTAATGACATCATATCGCGTTCGCGTCTGTCTCTTATGTGCGTAGATCTTCTAAATGATGCAACAGATTTTGATGTAGTTTTCTCTTTCTTTTATGGAAGCTCTTTTATATATTTATTTAGAAATATATTGAAACTTTCACATGAAGTGTTTTCACATGAAGAGGATGTATTAGTATGAGTACTTTGGTAAGATTTGAAGATTTTATTATTGGTATATAAGGAACACTAGCTGTGCTCCGCGGTTTCACCCGCGTTAAATTTGTTTAACTATAACTATCAGCTTTATAATAATGTATAGAAGTGTGCCCGATTTGTTGATATTTATGATTACTTCTCCCTTGGGTAGTAGTAGCATGATGATTTATAGCTCATAGCCTTCCTCAATTAATGAAAATTAATTTCAAATCAGATTAGTAGTTTCTGAGATAACCGCGTTCAAATAAACAAACAAACTTTTTATAATATAAGCATAGATAATATATTTTAATCATTTTTTAGGCTGAAAAATCCATAACTTTTGTTTGCTACATATTAAAGTGCGCAGTCATAAAGTACCAAGTAATTACAAGGGGTTGGGGCAAACATGTGACAATGTGGGGTGGAACAAAAGTTCCTGTTTTACTTTAATATTTCACTTCTGTCGCGGGAAAAGATTTTCTCTGATTAAAAATGTTCTTTTTGTGATACAGCGGGCTTTATTCTTTTGTGTTCTTTTCGAATTACGTTATTATAATATATGTTTGTGCTTATTTATCTATTTCATTCATTCATTCAGCCCTTTTTTAACGTCCCACTGCTGAGGGTGGACCTCCCTGCAATACGAGGGGGATCAGGCTATAGTCCACCACGCTGGCCAAGTGCGGGTTGGTGGTCTTCACATGTCCTTCGAAAACTTGCTAGGTTTTCTCAGACATGCAGGTTCCCTCATGATGTTTTCCTTCATCGGAAGGCAAGTGGTAACAATGTTAGAAATGATCCGCACATGAAAATATCAGAGGTGCGAGACCCTGGATTTGAACCCGCTTCACTCGGTTTCCCAAGCGAGCGAAGTTACCACTGGGCTATCACTGCCTGCATCTATACATATAATAAAATTCTAACTGAGTCGAATCTGCACATTAAATATTTTTTGGGAAGTCTTATTGTAATAGTCATTATTATCGATACAAAGGCCGAATCTATAGTTTTTAGAATTTTTGTCTGGCTGTCTGTCTGGGAACCCATCATGAGAAAACCACTAGACAGATTTTAATGAAAGGTATGATGATAGCTTGGTATTCGGGTCGATATATAGAATATTTTTACTGCAAGAAAATATCTCATCATTGAGAAATCTATATTAAACGTTAGTATGTTATAATTGTACAATAAAATTATTCAGTGATTTTCAAAACACGAAAAGAAAATAAATAGAGTCTATGAAAATGTTCAGAATATTATGCTTATTATTTAACATAATAGTATTAGAAAATGGAGAGCAGGACTTTACTAGGAAATTTTGAACATTATGCAAATGAAAGCTTAGCGACGGTAGAGTTTTAACTGGTTATTGCTCTTATGTTTGTTAAAGATTGTATTTAAATAAAACACCTATTGTTATATATAAATAGTATGTTAAGTTTGTCTTAAATTTTAATATTTCATGAATTTTTTTGTACTTGCTGTTATATTTAACTTGGCGAACCCAGTTGTCGAATGTATTGTCGAATACGACCATATTTATTATAGAAAATTTGAGGAAAACTTATATGTATTGAAATTACTTATCTGTATAAAGAACTAACTGTTTCCAATTTTTTTTAGAATACTAAAGTCAATAGATACTAAATAATAAACAACAAAAAAAATCGATTGACAAACAGATAAGAAAGTGATTAGTATTGAGCTGAGATATGTAGATATTAATTTATTTCAGTTAGGAATTTAGCTTTTTTGCTGATTTTAAAAATTCTATGAAACATATACATTTATATAGATACTTTTTATGTAAAATGATTTATATTTTTTTATTCTTAATAGTATCTTCCAACAACTATCAAGTTGATTTAGGAACCAAAACATATATTCTTTAGTCTTTTTAAATTTTTAATGGAAGATGTGCCTTTTGAATTGTCACATAAAAGTTATTACACAGGATAAAATGTAATATACATTAATAAAAATATATTTTACAAATAAATGAATCAATTTCTTCACTTTTGTATTTAGTTAGCTTATAATTTTATTAATAAAAATATATAATATTATATTATTGGTGTAATATTTTATAAGGTTAATTTTTACCGCGTCTTTAATAGTTAGTAATTTATACTATAATATTTATTTATTATATAAGAAGCCAACATAGTATACAGTGCTTTTGATCTTTTATACATAATTTCTTATAAAATATTTTTTACACTATACACCACACTTGTAGGCTAACTTAACATACATAAACAGCTGTTCCGAAACTTATACTACGTATCTATCCTTTAATAAAAGTGTAAAAAGTAAAGTAGAAAAAATAATAAACAATTAAAAAAACATGCATAAAAAATTACAAAAAAAATATACTTAAAAAAATTATAAATGTGAAGGCTTAAAATTTAAATAGTATAAAAGTTATTGCCAAAAAAAAAACATTAAAAAATTATAAAAACTACAACTAAAAATATAAATATTTCTTAGATTTACGCGAATAATTGACATTTTAAATAAAACTATCTTTTCGCATTATTTCGCAGATTATTAATCCGCGAAATAATCCGAAAAGATTGTTTTATTTAAAAATATAAATATAAAATATTATAAAGAAGCAGAGTTTGTTTGTGTGTTAATCCAATTTGAAAAATTCTTTTTACATTAGACAGCCCGTTTAATTAGGAAGGCTGGCTATATTATATCATCTCGGAAAAATGTACGGATCCCGTGGGATAGATTTGTTTTTGTCTAGAGTCGAACCTTAAGCGAAGCAAGGGTGAATCGCTAGTATTTAATAAAGAACATATTATAGTTCAATTTACTATTAATTTTCATTGAAATTTCGTTTAACAAGGCTTTATAGCAGTTTCTTCTTAATAATATAATAATAGCGATCACTCTTCCAATGGGAAACTGTATACTAGTTTGACAAGACAGTCGTTTGAGGAATTACAAACTTAAGTCAACATTCAATGTATACCTTATCCATTAATTATAAGGGCTATTTTCCTTTAATATAAACTCAGTTAAAGTTGTCTAAAGCTTTCAAAGACAAAGTGATGTTCCACGATGTTCACAAAAGGCCCTCCGATGCCTCGTTTAGATTTCAAAAGATATTGTTAGCGACGATAAGACGACAACGTAAGGTAAAATGTTTATTTTGTTCAATTACTTTTGAGCAGGTTTTATATTTTTGATTTTATATTTAGATTTAATAAAACAAATATTCGTTTTGTTAGTATATTTGGTATTATATATAAAGCCTCAGTTATTGAGTTGTACTACAAAATATTTGCCGAAGAGTAAAGAGTTAGAGAGCTCTGATCTCTAGTACTTAATTAATCATATTCATGAAGTGTTCTTAGTCATATATGTAGTATAATTTTTATGGTGATTTTTAACAAACCAAAAGTGCTTGGCTCTGCTCATGGGTTCAACTTTGCTTTAAGTTCTAATAACAGCTCTCTTCTCTCTTCTAAGTCTATACATTTATATAAGATTCTTTTCAGTCAGTCAGTTAAGGCAACTAACTGCTATTTTTAGATCAACTCGTTGAGATCAAGTGTTTATCAATTAACTTAAGATATTTATAATTGTTAATCAAAAAACTTAAGATTAAGTAGATACTTAATTATAATATGATGATGAGATATTTATAAACATATACTTTGAGATGTAAAATAATAATAGTGGTTGATCCGGTTCAGTCTTGTATTGTACTAGATTTTGAGAGTGGATTAAAGAAAATTTTAAGTAATTTTTATTTTATATTACACTAGCGACTCAACCTCGCTCTGCTCGGGTTTGTGCCTAGTTACGTTTTAACATATAGTATAAATTTCTCACAGATGAGATATTTTCCCGCAGTAAAAAGTATCCTTAATATGTTGACCCGGATAACCAACTACTATCATATCAAAATTTTACCAAAATCTGTCCTGTGGTTTTCTCATGATGCGGTCACAAACAGATAGACAGACAGGCAAAAATTCTAAAAACTATAGATTCGGCCTTTGTAACGATAATAATGACTATATCAATAAGATTTTCCAAAAAATATGTAATGTACAGATTCAACTCAGTTAGAGTTTTATTATATCTATAGGTAGTCTATTAAAATAATGTTGGAGGTTAATTTTTATATTTAGGGAAAATTTCAAAAACTTCTAAATTGTTTCTAAAAACTATTGATGGAAAAATGGTAGGATAGTCTATACTAATATGATAAAGAGGTAAAGTTTGTGAGTTTGTAAGTTTGTGAGGTTGTAGGCAATCTCTGGATCTACTGAGCTAATTTAGATGAAATTTGGTAAAAAGATAGTTTGAGATCCTGGAAAGGACATAGGATACTTTTTATCCCAGATATCATACCTTAAGGGGGTGAAAATAGAGATGAAAGTTTGTATGGGGATTCAAGCTAGGAACGAACCCAAGCGACGCGAGGATGAGTCGCTAGTAAGTAATAAAGGCCATTCTTTCGACGTACTACAAACACAAAAACTGTTATTTCTCAATATATTTAAAAATGTATAGAACTAGCAAATGTTATAAGTTTATAATAAATAAAATAATATACAGCCTTCTAGTAACACTTAAAATTTAAAATTACACTAACTATTCTAACACATCGCACTCTGCACTTTATATAGAGGCGTTAAAGTGAGAACAAAAGGGCGTTGGAAACTAAACTTATACGGTCTGCAAACTCACATTGGTTTCAGATGCCTAGTTACGAGTTATAATATTCTATATTTTATATGTATATACTCGTAGTTCTATAGCTATATTAATAAAATGAGTGTTCGTATGTTTGTCTTTTATGTTTAACTAAAGTATTGATCCAATTGTGATGAAACTCATGTGGATTATACTATAATATATAGTATAGTGCGAAGGTTCGTGGCATAAAAAAAAAATTTTTCTTTGGACATCATTATATGCGTTCATAACCATAAGTTGCTAGTTCTTTTAAATTTTCGACTTAGAAACTAAAGTTAGTAAATAGTTACGAATAATATTAACTCAATTATGTGTGTAATTTTTAGTTATATAAGCAAAAGAAAAATGTACTTATTTGGACCCGCGATCCTGCTCATGTGATAAATATATCGACAATAATAATGTCCTCCCGACTGATTCCGGCCACGGCGGCTAATCTCATTGAGACTAGCCAACTGCGCAGGAGATATTATAGTGCACAAGTGTACGCACAGACACAACGTGCACTCTCTATTCCTGTCACTCTCATACTCCGGTGGGACGACCACTCGACACGACCAGTGAGAGTTAAGGCGCAGGACCCAGGGGTTTACGTGCTCTCCGAAGGATAGGAGTGAAACACTGCCTTCCCAACTCCGAGCTGTTACTGAGCTTACTAAACAAAAAGAATTCCCGACCCGGGACTCAAACCTAGGACCTCCGAATGTGCAGTTGTACCGCCTATAACATCGACAATAAGTTATCCATGACTACATTCACAATTTTTAACATTTAAAATATTAGTATGATTGTATTCCAGATGAACAAAATTATGACATGAATAAAAAAAAACCAAGCACATAAAATAATTAAATACAATTAATAAACAAATCTTTAAAGAGTCAAATAATCTCATTTTATTAAAACTGAAAAAATATTTAAATGTAATTATATACGTGGGGGTTTAGCTTAAATTTTAAACGGAGAACGATGTAAAAAGCTACATATTGCCTCCAAATAAGGATTCAGAATATTCTCATAGACTTTTCACTATTTAATTCTTGGGAAGTACATTTGGACTATTTGATTCTCGCTAAGTAGCCAAGTAATTTGAAAGGCTTGCATTTCAAAGCAATAGCATTCGGTAGTCGTTAAGGAACAATGACCTATTATGTGCAGACGTCAAACGAAAATAGAGCCATTTTTAAAATAAAGATCCATTCATTCATTCTTTAGTTTTATTTGCAATGTAAAATAGTGCATAAAAGAAAGTTTTTTGAATGTAAATTATAAATTAGCTAAGTATAAAACCTGTTCCCTCCAAAGGCTGGCCAATAAGTCATAAATTTTTTTTTCTCTAACGCGTGAGAATGTATTGCATATGTATATATATAATGTATAGGATAAATTTCAGGACAAAAATTGTAAATATGTTATGTGTAATGATATTCTATTCTTTTTGTTTCCTCTATCTATGTTTTTTTTTCTGTCTGAAACGTCTATCCGCCAGTGAAAATTTCGTTAAAATTTTATATCTGAGTGAACCTTACAAATTTTACAAAAACATATGAAGTCCGCCAACCTGAAGTTCTAAGACTTAAAAGCGAGGTAAAGCAGCTAGTATTTAATCTACTAATACTATAAATGCAAAAGTTTGTGAGGAAGTATGGGTGTCTGGATGTTTGTTACTCTTTCACGCAAAAACTACAGAATGAATTTTATTAAACTTTACAATAATATAGCTCATTCATCAGAATAACACATAGGCTACTATTTATCCCAGAAAAATGTACAGTTCCCGTGGGATAGATTTGATTTTGTTTCTTCTAGAGGCAAATTCAAGCGAAGCAAGGGTGAGCCGCTAGTATAAAATAATTTTTAACTGTTTCTTTTATACACATTGCACGTCTTTCGTACCGTAATAATTAGACGCTGTCAGCACAATAACCGCTTTGAAACCTAAGCCGGGTTTTGACTGAAGAGTTACTTACATGTTACTTCTCTTTTTAAGTTTTTATTGTGTATAAATTCTTCTTCAGGGTAGTATAAACAGATTTATATTATAGACTAGCTTTACCCACGGCTCCACCCGCGTTCAGATGACCAAAAACCAAATTTTTAGGCTTCACATATTAGTAGGTATACTCATACATTGCAGTTTCTGTATTTTTTCTGAAGAAGAAGAAATGAGATATCATTTTTCCGCGGTAAAAACTATCCTATATATTGACCCGGATAACCAGCTATCACTATACAAAATTTCATCAAAATCCCTCCAGTGGTTTTTCTGTGATGCGGTAACAGACAGACAGACAGACAAAAATTCTAAAGAGTATAGATTCGGCCTTTGTATCGATAATAATGTCTATTTCAATAAGATTTTCCAAAAAATATTTAATGTACAGATTCGGCTTAGTTACACTTTTATTATATGTATAGACTAGTCTATATACGTGGCTTTGCACAGGTATCAGTGTTTATATTTTAACTGCTTTTTACAACACATATACACCGTAAAAATTGTAATTAAGCTTGAATTCATTAAGAACATATATATTTTGTTTTATATAATTATATTATTATTGTAACAACAGTAATGAGTTTTTAATGAAAATTGTATTAATTTATTTGATTGACTTAATTAAGTTATAACTAAATATATTAAAAGTCGCCTAAACTAGCCCCTAAATTAAATTTCATTTACAATCGTCTTTAAGCCCACATTTCGAGGACCTAAATTCCTAAATATTAAAAGGCCCCCTAGGGCCTTTTAATATTTAGGTAACCCCTAACTGACGGTGAAACAGAAACTGTCCCCTAACAGCCCCCTAACCATGCTTAGGGGATCCCTTAAACTTAGGTGACGTTGGTGAAATCGGGCATCAGTCTGTAAGGAAGCTACTACTAGCTCGGAATGGAGTTCTGTTGAGAACAGCTGGCAAAAAACAAAAAAAAAATACTATTTAAAATGGAATATCTAAAGAGAATTACGGGCCATAATAATAATATTATTATAATAATAATATTATTATGGCCCGTACTTTCATAAGAAAGAAGCAAACTGTAATTTAGTTCTTTTCGTGTCCTAATGCTGGATATGATAATCCTCAACATAAAGGGTATCCTTTCTATAGTCCACCATACCGGTCACCAATATACCACATAATATGTAAGTACAGGTTGGCGGACTCCATATGATTTTTTGAAAGCTTTTGTCAGACATTCAGGTTTCCTCAGAGCTTTTTCTTTGCTTCTTACGGGGTTTGAATCTAGTTTAGATGATTTTAATTTTAATTTAACATCATATTTTAAATTATCTACATAAATTTACTCACAAACAAATATTTTATTTTTATCTGAATTTTATTTAATTTTTTTATTCTACCTTAATACAAAAAACGAAAGCACAGAAGGAGAGCGAATGGTGCATTATGTTGCCTTTTATTTATTAATATATTATGGTAACCAACAGGTAAAAATGTTCTTTACCTTCTAGAATAAATATGGAACCGTCTGCGTTCACTTGTTTATATATTTGTATAATATATTACATATACAATGTACGTAATACATATATAGCACTTTATTACATAAATATCTTTACTAAGAATATCTCGAGACTTTGAGACGCCAAAACCTACTCTTTTCCGTGACTATGATTGCTGTAATGCATTCGAAACGCCGGGAACCAAAAATCAAAGTAAATCCGCGACAAAATGCGAAAAGATAGTTTAATTTAAAAAATGCTTATTAAATCATAATTTCTTTAATTATTTTTTAAGTAACTGATGAAAAATGACAGACGTATAGAACAGGTCTTATTTAGAAATTATATTATATAATATATATATCACATGTAACATCTATATAAAAAACTTTTTCAAAATGCAATAATGAGATCGTAAAACAAGTTTCAAAACCACAGTGCAATAACAGGTTCCATTTAACTGATAAGAGAAATAATCGAAATCTGTAAAAGACACAAACATACATACATAATATATTTAATTTTAAATAACGTTTTAATCCAATTAGCGCCTCGTAATGTCGCACCCAAGTGTAATTTACTGTCTGCATCGAAATCATTCATTTTAAATTCATTTTGCTTCGTAATTGGAAACTGGTTATTTTAATTCCGAAATAATAGTTAATGTTAAGGGTTAATCTTGTTTTTGACTGTCATACATAAAATTTTAGTTATTAAGTATATTAAAGTAAAATTAATAAAAAAATATTATTATTTATCTGTTTTTGTTTAAATTATGCGTATTTTGTTTTCTAGTTTTAGTTTTAACGTAGCTTTTTTAAAGTTGGAAAATGTATTTACGGAAATAACCTATCTATGTGGGACTCAACGGGAAGAAAATCCAGTACTACCTACTAAAACTTACTGGAAACTTCCCGTCTTAATGGGGCGTCGCAGGATCAGTTACGCACTGGACCACAACATCCCCGAAGGCTATTTGCAGACCACAACAACCATGGGATTACTCCCATGATCCACTCTGCTATAAGAGAAGTACCAGAAGCAACCTGCCTTGTATACCACCCACCGAGGTAGGCCACCTGCCTCTTGGCTTCACATCCGGCTGGATTGCCGGACGCTAATTTTGGTAATTAAATTTTACTATTTAAATAAGAACAAATAATAAAAGGACACCATCGACTAATCTTAGACTTTCAAATCTAGTAGTAACTAGAATACTTCTTGGCATTTTGTAAGTTATAATTTAGATATTGCTTTTCCTGCATCATCACTTGTCATTATTGTAATTTTAAACTCAAAAAATAATCAAAATAACGAAAACATATAATGTCATATAGAACAATTATACGCGACATATATTTATATTCTCTATCTCATCGAAAATAATATCATCAGTTTTCATATAAATTTTCGCAGACTCTAAGATAATTCATTATACAATATATAAATTTCTATAGGAATGAAAGTTCATCCAAGCGTATTGAGCTGAAGATCGTTCATAAAATAGAATCTGAGCAAAGAACCAATAAACTATCTGGACTAAAGTTTAATTAAATTTTGTATTGTCTTTAAAATTGTGGTACCGGTCAAACGCTTCTTTCGGTTTTCATATTGACTGGTGTTCGTCTAGTGGTAGAAATTCAAGTATAAACATTTTTTTATCGATAACACTAAAGTTCCTCAATAGCTACTAAACAAAGGAAATTGATTAAAAACAGAGGATAAAAATATAATTGACTGTTTTCAACCGACTTCAAAAAGGAGGAGGTTCTCAATTCGACTGTATGTTTTTTTTATGTTTGTTACCTCAGAACTCCGTCATTTATTAACCGATTTGGACAATTTTTATTTTGTTTGAACAGTTTGTTTGTTTTGTTTGAGCACACCGACTTCGAAAATATCTGATTAGGTATGTATAGTAAATGAAAACTACCAATCAGTTATTTTTTACTTTTTAGTGCTTTTGTTTGAAGTTGGTTTTTATTTTTTTGTTACAAAAGTTTTTATTTTTAAAAAGCTGTTTCAATTTTTACTATTGATAACGTAAGCTAAAAGCGTAAAGCTAGTCATTGAACAAAAAAAAAAGCAGTTATGAGGATTACCGACAGAAGTGAAAACTTTAAACTATACACAAACAGCTGT